TTTCAGTTATTTATCATTTTAGTTCAAAATTTCTTATGATTTTAATTGTGTCTTGTTTAGCTAATCTATCCTTAGTTTTTTCTGATTGCTCTGCTACACAAGCAATCAGCTTCTGGTTGGAAGATCTTTTTTTTTCCCGAACACCCAGTCATATTTTTCCTTTTGTAAACTGAGAAAACTTTTATATTTAGGTTTTTTTTTCGTCCACTTATACATTTTTAGTTGTTTTTTGTTTGTTTTTTTGGTCCAGGTACTGGTTCTGGACTTTGGTCCTCCATACATTCATGTTTGAATCAGAAAAATTGCAGAACTTCTATACTTGGGTTCATAGTTCGGCTTTAGTCTGCTGAGCTCTCAAATCATCACCCTCTAGTGGCCATACGATGGAGTATTAGGGCAAGACTAGAGATTTTTTTTATTTACTTGGAGTATAAAGTCATTATATTATTACAATAAAGTTGCAACAAGAATCGTCAAAAACTATGAGAATAAAGTCATAAAACTACAGTCAGAACTTTACAAGAATAAAGTGATAAAAGTCCGGAATAAAGTCGTAAGATTAACAGAATAAAGCCACAAAAAGAATAGTCATAAAATTAGTCGTAAGTCGTAACATTAAGGGAATAATGTCATAAAACTACGAGAATAAAGTAACATTATGAGAATAAAGTCGGAACTTTTCAAGAATAAAGTCGTATAATTACGAGAATAAAGTCCCAAAACTAAGTGAATAAACTAACATAATGAGAATAAAGTCGTAACTTTACAGGAATAAAGTCATAAAATTATGAGAATAAAGTCGTAATGTTATGAGAATAAAGTCATAAAATTACAAGAATAAAGTCGTAAAACTATGATAATAAAGTTGTAATATTACATTTTTATTTATTTATTTTTTGGTCCAGGTACCGGTTCTGGACTTAAGTCCTCCATACATCCATGTTTGAATCAGAAAAATTGCAGAATTTCTTTACTTGGGTTCATAGTTCGGCTGTCGTCTCCTGAGCTCTCAAATCATCACCCTCTAGTGGATGTACGATGGAGTATTAAGGCCAGGCTAGAGATTTTTTTTATTTCGAGTATAAAGTCGTAATGTTATGACTATAAAGTTACAACAAGAATCGTCAAAAAAGTATGAGAATAAAGTCATAACATCACGAGAATAATGTCATAAAACTACGAGAATAAAGGTGGAACTTTACAAGAATAAAGTCATAAAATTACGAGAATAAAGTCATAAAATTAAGAGAATAAAGTCATAAAATTAAGAGAATAAAGTAACCAAAGAATAGTCATAAAATTAC